TTGGGGTTACTTTTCGAAGTTATTAATGTTATGCAACCCGGCTGCGTATGGACGTGCAGGTTGATATCTGTGGTTAGCACTTGCTTGGTATATACTCGTACCCTGAACACGCGATAAAATACGACGTATTGGTCGGTTTTTTCTTTTATAATACCAAGTGACTGGACGAACAATCCGTGCAGTTGCAGTGCTACTCAGAGCTTTAAATCACAAAGATCTGAGGGGCACTGCTAGTGCGCTCGTCACCTTGAGACAAGCTGACAAGTCCCATCTGCCTCTAATTTCACCAGCACCGTTCAACACCGAAACACAGTAACGTGCCCATTATTGCTTGGCGGCAGAAATACATAAGGTGCCAGTACATCCCTGGACGAACTGTTTCTTAGGGAGCTCTACTGCTATTTGTGTTGGTAGCACCGGCCGTGGCTACGGACTGACATTTCATATTAATATAATGTGTAAATGTAGTGTAAAATATAGTGAGGAAACCCTACACTGCAATTTATTGACGTGTGTGAAGTGATTGGACCCACCACGTACAGCCCAAGCCATCGCACTGTGAGAGGAGACCTGTCCACGGCAGTGGGACTATACACATGCTATCTATTATTATTCTAAGAAATATAACTGGAACAATATTAATACGGGCTTTTGCACCTAAAATTTCCTTCCTATCCAAGATGTTGGCACCAGCTGACGTTTTACGCTTTGAGTAATCTGATTCGCCTTAAGCACGAACAACCAATGAATGTGTCATTAATGACACTGAATTGAATATAAAGCTAAAAAGTTCACGAGACGTATCTTCAAATGACACTGAATTGAATATAAAGCTAAAAAGTTCACAAGACGTATCTTCGACAGCGAATGAAGGTAGGAAGATCAGTGGCCTTAGTGTAAGTTTTCAAATATGTAAATGTAACTATCGCGTTTAAGTCAAGATTTTAATTTAAACCTTATAAATATATAATTAAGATCTAAATAAAAATCTTAACGTAAACGCGGTAGTTTGAATGATTTCAAATTTACTCCCAGGGCTCTGATATATCTTCCCAAAGCAGTCAACCGGCGCGAGTGAAGCCGGTGACCATGGAGCATGTAATCGTTTCGCAATATCGGGATAATAAGAAGTCATATCTTGGTAAGTAAGGTAAGAAACCTATGCGTAGTGATAATAAATTTGACATCACACCTATGGTAATGTCACTCCTATAGACCGGTATTGTAACTAATCGAGGGTCAAATTCTGACCGAGACCTCAACTCTTATATAAGAATTATCAGGTGCTATATTATATTCTGTTGGAGAAAGCCCCAGGTGCGATATGGTCGAAGCCATTTCGATTTTCACCCAGACCGGTTTCAATACTATTATAACTGATTTATCGATTGTATTTTGATGCTAAGATTGTATAGTTTTGACAAGACGTGATGTGGAACCTGTCAGATTATTCATAAGCTACAGTGATAAGACTGCCGAGTAATTTTCACATGGCGAATTGGAGAGTATTATAAACTTTCTAAGACAAAAGATAAATCAAATTTTGTTCACGACATTCATAAGATTGATATCTCGTTAGAAACAATCGTCAATCGACGATAATTGTTTTGGTTACTTGCAATAAGTAAACGCCAATCATATTTAAGCACTCGAAATTCATAAAAAATAAGTGACAGTTAAGAATTTTCGAAATCAACCCATCTATTCGTATTGTTTACGTTTCACCTTCAAAGTCTGTTATGTTCTAATAATATGAAGTCATCCTTAATTTTCGGACGACGACCTTTCCAAGTATAAGTTTTGTAGCCATAATAGTCGGTTACACTCCAACATTCTTCTATTGCTCTCTTTATAATTTTTAATTCACACGTTTATGAGCGTAACGAGATGAGTCAATAACCTTGGCAACAAAAGCTTCTGTGAAAATATACAAAGCCCGTTGGAAAACGGTAATGGTTTAATTATAAGGCACAAAGACTTGACAAGATTTGCTTTACGTGACTACGATAGGTTATTATAACGTATTCTTAATTTAAATGGTCGTACTTATTTAGTAGTTTATATACAGTACATGGTCAGATGTAAGAGGAATACCGGCGGAAGAGATACTTGAAGCCTGAGTTCTCATAATCTAATTAGTTTAGCACTATAGTCTCGCAGTCGATAAAACAGACAAACAAATTAGTTTAACCAATTTCACAGAGATGTCGTTACGAGCTCTAAATATACAAGGCAACAATTGTAAGTTTTTCATTGAAATGAAACCGACCTCAAAAGTTTGCTTATCGGTTTTTTTCGATTTTCATGGGATCCCCTCATCGGATTCTGACTTCTTGGTGACAATGAGAATGTTACGGACACCTTTGTAGAATTTATACGTTCTTTGGTTCGTTTTCTGGTTGTCATGGTGACGGTGACTTGTTGGTAACTTATATTGTGACAAGTGAACGTCGACTTTTATTTGCAGAAAATATTTTTTTATTCGTGATAACCGAAACGGACCCGGAACAACATAGTCGGCATCAGGGATCACATTCTAATATCACCTCAAGAGATCAAGATCAAGAGAAGAAGATCCTATACCCTTTCAAAAAAAAAAGAATTTTCAAAATCGGTCCACAATTAACGGAGAAATTGGTGCGTACACGATATGCCTATGAAATTTAATGATTTACCTGGATTTCCATGTGATCCCCTCATCAGATTCTGATTTGGTGAAAACCCTTTGAAACAAAAAAGAATTTTCAAAATCGGTCCACAATTGACGGAGAAATCGGAAAACATACAAACAGCCGAACATATATCCTTCTTCTGTTTTTTGAAAGTCGGTTAAAAAAAAGAAATTTCGCAGTTGTAAAATCTTGATAACGAGATATACGTTATCGTTAAAAGAAAAACGTTTCCATAATTTAAAAAATTTTAAACTTAAAAAATTTTTGCATATATGCATATGCAAAAATTTATTAAGGTTAGGTCGGGTAAGAGGAACATACTATATTTTGAGTAAAATGTTTTGAGCTCCAATAGGAATAGGTAAAGTCTTATAGGAATTTTGAAATACACTGAACTTGTCCTTGTTCATCAGTTTTATAAGACAGCTGAAATATGGGACTTTTGAAAGTAAAAATATTATTATAACATTGGCTCATATCCAAGCCGTTTAAAATATAGGTACCATCCAGTTCACGTCTTCAAAAATACCGTACAAAGTTCAGTTCCGCATTATTTCAGCATCAAACATGAAGGTTGCAAAGGTGAAGGTTTTAAAGTTCAAACCTCTCAAGATTTTGTCATTTACTTCTCTCTCTCTATTCGTTCCCTCATGTCTGAGGATCATGGTCAGCTTGGTGAATACTTCTGAAGCGGGTGATCTGCCTCTATCTGTTTTTATCTCTAAGTCATTGTCTTTTCAGATTAAATTTCCAAACTTCAAAAATATAAATCTAAACATCACCTAATGCATCTTACCAGTAAGCAAGGTTGTATACCAATGTTTATGGCAATTAACCAATAAGCTACGCTTGTAAAGTTTAATTCTCCTTTTCTATTAGTGTTGAAACGGTTAAATGTTACTGACCATTTCCTTGGTTTACGGTCGTCGTGAAAATATGGGTGCTATGTTACTTTTATGCATTTATTACTTCCATAATTGGATACTTATTTATGGCTTGAATTACGAATAAAGATGTGTGTTTACAATTCATAATTTCTCATCCATTTCACTTAGATACTAATTTTGCAATCAACTATCAAACTTCAGTTCTATTTAAATTTGGATTCAAATTGCTTTTCACGGATAAACAAATGAGACTGCCTGTTGAAACACAATAATATTAAAAAAAAACACGCCATTTACACTGAGTATATTTAACATTTCGAACAACCTTAAAGTTACAACCGGAACTGTAACACAAGAATACACTTACACCGATCATACAAATTTCCATACAAACACCCATACAGACTTCCTGAGTGAAACTTCCTACCACAAACGCAATGACAGTGATAAAGCAATTGCAATTCTTACCATGCGCGACGTTACGTCAACGAATGTAAGCTAAACCAATAGTTTTGTATTATGAATGAACTATACTCATAAATGTTGAGAATTGGATACTTTTGTGGTATAATCAGTCGTCTTTCATAGCATTCACGTATAAAATTTGAAATGAACTACATATTGATAAATGTTTGAGGCTAAAAACGTAATTGAATGTTTTAAATTTCAATTAATTTTATAGTAATAATAATTATTTATTTGCAAACGTAAATAAAGAACAATAAGAACCCAGCAATATACCGTGTGCAATTATTCCTATTCGATTTTGGATAGATATGGAGTGTTCACATTTTCATTTAAATAAGATAACGTATACGAACAAATTAAGACGTAATAGCATTGTTACAAATTGTAACCATATATTGGTTATCTCTTTGCATAATCATTATAATAAATAATCTTTCAAAAGCACTCACCTATTCTAATTCACCTTTAAGTCTTGAGTGCCGTGTTACTTAATGATATTATTAAATTTCTTCGACACAAAAGCTTCTTCTTGTACGTGACTATGAAATACTGCAGTTGAATTACTTGCGAAATAGGAATGATGATAGCAACACGTGATTGGTTAAAATCTTCAATAAATTAAATTTTGCCGAACGTTGCGCGATGACCTTTATGTCAGCCATAATTAATTTTGCGCAAAATTTAGTTATGCGTCGACGCGTCGTAGCGCCATTACGTACAGACAGTTTTGAACTTTGTATAAGTGGGAAATCAACAAGCATGTCTGGATTGATTAACTTGTGTATAAGTATAGGTTGGTTAAGAGATTGTACTCGACGAAACTTAATCTTAAGATCCAACTCTTTTGCATGTGGCATGAAATATTACCACCGGGTATCACTTATCACTTGGTATTATAAAAAAATATCGTGATTGTTGAAACAATACAGCGTTGGTTCAAAGGTGATTTGTTATATAAAAATTACAGACTTACCTAAAATATTAGCGAAGCTCCTCAAACTTTTCTAACCTGCAATCAAAACAAACTTAATTACTAACTTTCATAACGACCATGTAAACTCTAAATAACATGTTAAACTTTAAAACCACTTGAAAGCGAGTTATTAAAGAGTAGTTATAAACGAACGATTCTTGGTAAAGATTAACGCCCTCAGGAAATTATCATTGACAGTTTCATTTTAAAGTAACGTAACATACAACATATTACGACGAAAGTGAAAATAACGAAAGTAAGAGGTGATCCGACGAGCCGATCGGCGGCCATTTTGTCTAAATGATGAGCCTGTGCGTGTATTTTGTGGAACCCGTTCCGTGTGAGGGTGTGGCCGAGATTTGTATTACGAGCCCATTATGATAATAAAGAACCATATGGAGAAAATTACATCGCCAACTTTCTTGCAAAAAAACTTCCTAAATCTAAGCATAATATTTTTTCCATTGCAACAGATGCGTTGTAAGCTAAATGACGGATATGATATTGTGTATGATATATGTATGATGTATGATATAGAATGGTAATGTGTGTTAGTTCTTATTTTATGAACATAGCAGGCTGTAGCAGAATATCAGCGGCGTTTTGAAACACTCCGCCATTGTTCTGAGCCACAAACTTTTTATCTCACACTAATATTGTTGTTACTAAACACAGTGTAGAGCTTATATTTATTTTTACTTGTTAATGTGTTGAGATAAATAAACGATTTTATTATTATTGTGATAAAATTTGGTGAATTCTTAGAATCTTCTTATACTGGTGACAACGGGTTAAACGGGCTTTTGATAAATATAGAACAAGATAAGCTGGATAACAATGACTTGGTCGCAAATAATGCAGAAAAAATAAATTACTATAGAGTTTTTCGTCGTTTGTCTACGAATCGAATTCAAATCCAAAATAAAAGCTAAATAACGACCGTTAAGGTTTGAATAAAAAACACTTTTAAAGAAAATTAATTACAATCTCAGAATTTTACACAAAATATTGACCCACAAAATCTAAACGATCTGTCCATAATAACTTTCCTATACGAGAACAGGTGAGACGCAGAAAAAAAAAAAAACAAAAAAAATTTGATTGTTACGCAAGCCGAATCACTTTTTACTATACCGTACAATGACTTTTTGTCTACAAGTGATAGACGAATAGCGTGTAAACTAGGACATAAAACTCTATTAAAATATAACAATGTAAAATCAACAATGACCATAGTCTGCAGCAAAATAAATATGAGAATTCTTTTTTCCACAATCTCAAAGGATTTGTGGCCAAATATAAGATCCTTAGAAATTGCTATTATTTATCTACACAAATATTAATATTACCTACGACAGCGCTTATCCGGAACATTTATTTTGCGGAGTTTATTGTAAAGTTGAACATTTGTTTTAACAACTTCATTAATCATCGTAATCATAATTCATTTATTTGTGAAAACACAGGTTATTTGGAAGTTGACTTGTACATAACCTAACCTCAATACAGAGTACTAAAAACCGACCTCATAAGTCATTCATTCTCTAGTGTACCACCCTTAGAAGTCGAATATTTTCTTCGAATTTAAATGGGACCACTTCTGAGGTACCCTCTTTCCAACAAAAAAGAACCATCAAAATCGGTTCACAAATGGCGGAGTTATCGCGTAACATACACACAAAAGTAAAAAACATACAGCCGAATTGAGAACCTCCTCCTTTTTTTAAAGTCGGTTAAAAATAAGTATAGTTTCGCTGTGTACGGCCAAACATTAGGCATACAAACGTATTGAAAGTGTTAATAATTATACATTTATTCGCATGCATTTTAACAAACTACACCAGATATGGGTTGTTATTTTTTCTAATATCACATGAGCGTGCACACATGGATTTAATAAGTCGGTCAGCAATTTAGACGCAATGATAGTTATATTAGTCAATTTCAATTATAATAATGTTAATGTAGAAATATAATTAAATGTCAAAATAATAAAACTAGTAACGTCAAAAAAGATATATAAATACGTCTACCTATAAATATCGAAAATCTGACAAAGAAGTTAGGGATTTGTCTTTAAAAAATTTGGACACTATATGGTAGTTTTTATTAGTCAGTATTGTTTTTTAAATATAACGTATAAGGTTTTTTCAAACCTCAATATTTTCAGTAAATTATTGGCGCCACACAAAGACACTTTTGTGCATGAACGTTTTTTATTTCGAATTTTGTTTTTTGTTTCTTAATTTTTTTGCATAATTTGTCGAGCATAATATTAGTAAATAAATATGGCTGTTTACAAAAATAATAGAAAATTACCAAAAAATCATGGATTTATAGTCAAAAGACTCGTGTAAATTATAGAAACAGTTCGATACATTATTATTCTAAATATATATATTCAAATCAGAAAGTATACTTTTTTCTTTTATCTTAAACCATTTTGTACCAACAGCGAAGGACAGCAGCCGCGAGCATGTTGATCAACCCATGGCGTTGAACTCTACGAAGCACTATTGAATTTTAATTAGCTATAATTACTGCGTTGTGGTCTCCACTGTATACCTTGTGTATTTAACACGCACATTCTATGCTTTGCCCTTTTTGCTTAAAGACTTTTAATGTTGTCTTGTCGCTTAGCGTGACTTGTGTTGTATACTGTATTTTTTCTCACAATATCAATGGAAGAACTTTTTGTATAAATGTGATTCGCAATTAATAGACCCGTGGAATGAAGAAAGACTTGTTTCCATGACTTTTTTTAATGGGAAAGTTTACTTTAAGTTCCTGCAGCAATCATCTTCTTTACAACTTAGGAACATTTAATCTAAGACATATTTTGTATTGTCTACCGATGTTTTTGTCTTTAACTTATGACATTGTGTATTGTTGTAACTCTATACGATTACCATAAAGAGTGTTATAAATTTGTCTTTATTACCTAAAACTATTGCTTGTTTATTTATGTTGTTAATATCAGGTTAACGACCTTATTCTTATTGTCAGTTAAAGAAGTTATATTGAAAATTTATAATATTTTGTGAAAGTAAAAGATGTATTATTAAAATTCATGGAACAAAAATAGTTGTTTATGATGTTAGTAATATAGTCCTGAGATGTTGTCAGATCATGTGAAATAACCCTGAATCGAATATATACGAAATACAAAACAATTTCCTTGAAGAATATTGAAAACGTAAAACGAAATACTACAACACAAAATACAATCATTACTAGGTGCTAACCGGACACCACGAATGTATTTCAAATATCAATTACAAAACACATTATTGTTAGATATACGAAACACCAATCACAAACATTTTTAAGCAGTAATAGAAATGTAAATACTATATATTTCAAATACGTATTCCAATTACAAGTAAAGGCAAAAAATTGCCCAGTCCTGATTATTATTAACACGTAATAGTCTTACTTTTTTTTGTACCATGTGACGGGACGAACAAGTCGTGCGCCTGATGGTAAGCTGTGCCACTTAGAGTTTTAAAACATAAACGTTAAATCATTAACGTTAACAAGTCCCATGTGCCTGTAATCTCACCAGCGCATGTGTGTGCATTACTACTTGGCGACAGAAATAGTTAAGGTGCAGTATTTCCCTGGCCAAACTCTCACAAGTAGCGCTACTGCTAACGAAATACATATTTAAGAACAGATAGACAGCTCTAATAATATCAAAAATGGCACAAATTGGGGTTCTAACATCTACATCATTGAAACCTGCCTTCAAATTATGAAATATGAAATGGTTAGAGGACTATTTCTGTACTAGATTCTAGTTTACAAAGACGCGTTCAAGTATTTGGACTATCAAGTTACTTAGACGTATAAATATCTAGTCATGTCCATTTATATAATATCAATCACGATATATTCATGTACGTAATTGTACCGATCGATTGCTGTATAACTATTATCATTCTAGCATATTATATAACTACTAAATATTACACGTAACATTAGTTGTATACATCTGAAATTCGCATTATAATGTATAAGTATGGACATAGAGAAACGCAAAAAAAATGTTGAATAATGATATCAACGTTCTTTTGAACCATAGTTGTTAATGACGCAGGTTTTTTACGCATCAGCGGCTGCGGATTTTAGGTATCCTTCCACGACCTGGGAACTACACCAGTCTCAAGCGAGAGGCGATACAGGCGTGTAAGAATAGGAGACAACTCAGGCGCACAGTTACGCAGGACTATTGCTGGAATTTCACCTGGCCCGCCAACTTTATGCACGTCTAGACTTCGCAGAGTTCAGAGTACCTCTTTTTGGCGTATGCGAACTGGCGCCATAGTGCATCCAGTCTGAGGTAAAGAAGGTGGTAGGTATCCTGCGACATACAGACGCGAACTCTCTGCAAAGAGTGAGGCGAAGAGATTCGCCTTCTCTTCCGCAGTATGAGCCAGCGAGCAGTCTCTCTCAGTCAGCGTTAAACCATGGACAGTGGTCAGAGGTACCCAATGATGCATCCACAACTACTGAGTATCGGTCTGGATCAGTTGTTAGCAGTAGGTCCAAGCAATTAACCGTATGCGACTCAACATCTGGGATCCTTGTGGCGCCACAGACAAACTGGGAAAGGCTTAGCGATAACGCAAGTTTTCGCGTCCCTCTCCCAGCATGATCGGTCATCTGGTATGGGAACAATCATTCTTGATGGTGTGCATTAAAGTCCTCCAGAATTACTAGTTGCGCCGCTGGATACCTGAGCTGAGCCTCATCAGAGGTCTCGCTCAGATGTTGGAACAGCTTGGTTGTCTCTTGATCTCGACTGTGCGAGCGGTAGATACAGCAGTATACTATTTGGGTAACTCCTGTGTCAACCAGAAGCCACAAATTAGGAAAACTCGGTGCCTTGACGCAGATGTCATCACGAACGTATACACAGACTCCGGCACGAGGTAGAAACCTGTGCTCCAGAGTATACCCTGGGTAGCTGAGGTACGCCGTGTCAGTCGGACATCTGATCTGCTTCTCGGTGAGGAACAGCAGCTACGGTTTAT